GGTGCATCAGTGCTCCTCCTCTGAATGTGCCCGAACCATCTGAGTCTTGCTTCCCGCATCTTGTCCTCTATGGGGGCCACGCCCACCTTTTCTCGAATATCTTCATTCCTAATCCTATCCATCCTTGTATGCCCGCACATCCATCTCAGCATCCTCATCTCTGCTATTTTCATCTTCTGGATGTGTGAGTACTTAACCGGCCAACACTCGGTCCTATACAACATAGCAGGCCTAACCACTGCTCTATAAAACTTACCTTTTAGTAACGGTGGCACTTTCTTGTCACACAAGACTCCCGTCGCTAACCTCCACTTCATCCACCCCACTCCTATACGGTGTGTGCCATCCTCGTCGATCTCCCCGATCCCCTGAATAACTGACCCAAGGTACTTGAAACTATCCCTCTTAGGGATGACTTGAGAGTCAAGCCTCACTTCCATTCCTGTTTCCGTCGGCTCGGCCCCAAATTTGCACTCGAGGTATTCCGTCTTCGTCCTGCTCAACCTGAAACCTTTAGACTCAAGGGCATGTCTCCAAACCTCTAGCCTCTCGTTGACTCCGCGTCGTGTCTCGTCAATTAGGACTATGTCATCAGCAAATAGCATGCACCATGGCACCTCCCCTTGAATATGATGCGTTATGGCATCCATCACCAGGGCAAATAGGAAAGGGCTAAACGCAGACCCTTGGTGCAACCCTGTAACAACCGGAAAATGGTCGGAGTCGCCTCCTACTGTCCTAACCCGAGTCTTAGCTCCATCATACATGTCTTTAATCACCCTAATGTAGGCAACCGGGACCCCTTTAACCTCTAGGCATCTCCATAAGACCTCCCTAGGAACCCTGTCGTACGCTTTCTCTAGATCGATAAACACCATGTGGAGATCCTTCTTCTTATCCCTGTATTGTTCCACCATCCTCCTAATAAGGTGGATGGCTTCTGTGGTAGATCGCCCGACATGAACCCGAACTGGTTATCTGAAATAGACACCGCCTTCGCACTCTCATTTCTACCACTCTCTCCCAGACTTTCATGGTATGACTCAGTAATTTGATACCCCTATAGTTGTTACAGCTCTGGATATCGCCTTTGTTCTTATACAACGGAACCATTGTACTCCACCTCCACTCTTCAGGCATCCTATTAGTCTTGAATATAACATTGAACAACCCAATAAGCCATTCCAAGCCTGGTCTATCCACACACCTCCAAAGCTCAACCGGAATTTCGTCTGGCCCGGTAGCTTTGCCCCTCCTCATCTTACGGATTGCGTCCATGACCTCATCGACCTCAATGTCCCCACAATAACTTAATTCATGGGGGCTGTCGGCATTCCTCAATTCACCTAGCACAATATCCTGATCCCCTTCTTCATTCAGAAGTTTATGAAAGTAAGTCTGTCATCTCCTCTTAATCTGGTCATCCCGCATCAAAACTTTGCCGTCATCATCTTTTATGCACCTCACTTGGTTCAGATCCCGAGCTGTCCTCTCTCTCACCTTAGCGAGTCGGAATAACTTCTTCTCCCCTCCTTTGTTCCCTAGTTCCTCATACAGACGAGCAAAAGCTGCCGTCTTAGCCTCCATTACTGCCATCTTCGCCTCCTTCCTAGCTACCTTATATCTCTCACTGTTCGCTCTCTTCTCCTCCTCTCCAGTGCTCCCTACGAACCGCAGGTACGCCGCCTTCTTCACTTCCACTTTACCTTGGACAACTGCATTCCACCACCAGTCTCCTTTGTGGCCACCGGTACTTTCTAGTATCTGTTTGTAATTTCATTGGTGAGTATTTTAGTTGAACAAATAAATGGTACTGACAACTTGTCATTTTGCTAGACTGAATCTTGTTAAAAGACCAAAAAACTTATCAAATGCATCGGGAAATTATAGCCATTGTTGTAATGGTTCATTATCCATTTATCATTTCTGTATGGAACTTCCTTAATCTAATTTTGTAGGCTTGCCACAGATCAGCTAGAACTGTATAAAGGGGAATGTGTGTGATAGCAATTGCTTTTAGTTGCTCTGCTCCTTTACTTTTTAGCCATTTGTCTTCTTATTTTTTTCGTTATTTCAATTTAAAGGTGATAATTCAAGTTTTTCGAGTGTGTTGTACCATTGAACATGTTTATTTCCTTGTACCAGAACTTGGAAGCAGTCATACTGCTATATATGACCTTTTTGCATTCCATGTATTAGTCAGTCTTGTGGATCAGGATTTTGAAGAGTCTATCTGTAGCTGGTTATTGAGAATATCTTTTGTTGTTTTACTGTAATTTTGTGGACCTAATAACAAACTTGAAAGTCAAACTAGGTGCGAGTTAATGGTCCGGACGAAGCACCAGTCTATCAATTCCTTAAATCAAGCAAAGGTGGTTTTCTTGGTTCCAGCATCAAATGGAATTTCACCAAGTTTCTGATTGATAAGGAAGGGAAAGTTATCAAGCGTTATGGCTCCACCACTACACCGTTGGCAATTGAGGTTCGCCTCTCTCTCTCTCTCACTCACACACACACATACATCAACCCAGCGAAGTTTATATGGTTTTACTTGTCCTTGCCTCTACATCTTAAATCTTTTAAGGTAAAGGTGAGATTTGTTTTTGAAGTAACTGCATCTTAGCAGTTCTCCAACAAGTGTGGCAAAAACTTGTGTCCTAATGAAGCTAATACACTGGTCCTTCCTGCAAGTCTTTCTTCTATTCAAATGTCCATGATTAGTTGGACTAGATAATTTTGTGGACAAATATATCCAGAGTATCTCCTTATTTTACTTGGTCTCATGGGAAATAAACTTATCCAAAAGTCGCTTTATAACTCACCAAATTGAAATTTCTCACAAGGGTTCCTCTTATCTTTCAGTAATAAAACCTATCTTGTCCTGCTCTTCATGGCAAGAAATACTTCAGAATCCATCTGTCGCAGGGTGACAAAGTTAAAACTTTTTCCAGAGGGGAAAGGGTAGTTGGGGAAGAAAAGTAGGAGATGAAGAGAAGTAGAGAACTGTGTATGAGCTGATGATATCGGCTTTCAAGAAGAATACTATTTGACTTGAGGATATGCCAAAGTTGGAAAAGGCAGATATTTAAAGGAAGAGGAAACAAAAAGAATAAGGAGCACCGAAGATTAATAAACTTTCATGTATAGAAAGGAGCGCTATGAAGAGGAGCCTTGACGTAACTGGTAAAGTTGTTGCCATGTGACCAGGAGGTCACGGGTTCTTGGAAACAACCTCTTGTAGAAATGCAGGGTAAGGCTGCGTACAATAGACCCTTGTGGTCCAGACCTTCCCCGGGCCCCCCGCTTAGTGCATGGGGCTGCCCTTAACGGAGCGCTATGCATTTCTTGTTTGCCATCATTGACTGTTGTCATCTGGAGATTATGATGTACATATGTTGTATCAGGAGGCTTAATCACTACCAGTTACTAAAGCTTATCTTGTTAAACATTTGCATATGATTTCATTTCTATGCAGTAGTAGAAAACATACCGGAAACAGCCTCTCTACTCCTCCGGAGTAGGGGTAAGGTCTGCGTACACACTACCCTCCCCAGACCCCACCTGTGGGATCTCACTTGGTTGTTGTTGTTGTTGCAGTAGTGGAAAACATGCCTTGAGCAGTAAACTTGCACCTGAGAAATTTCCACTCAGGTTGAGGAGGCTTCAAGTTGCTACCATCTCCATTACCTAATGTTTATTTACTTATTTGTCGATAAGCAAGATATCCACTATCTCATGTATTAATTGAAGACTATTAGCTTTTCTGAAATACAATTTTGGTTGATGACTCCCAATCAAGAAGTTTATTCGGTGCCCTTTACGAGGTTCATGTACATTTTGAGGTGGTTTTGATAGTTCTCCTTTGATTTTCTTGCAGGCAGATATCCAAAAAGCACTAGGGGAAGTGTGAGAGGCTACCAAGTACAGATTGGTCAGTTGATGAACTCAATTATATAATAAAAAGAGAGGATGGAGATTTCTTGTATATTCTGTTTGTTCAACCTGCTTGTGCTCTTGTATATTGTGTTATCCAGGGAACACGGTTTCAATTGTTGCGCCTCCTACCTCCCTCTCACCTCAATGTAATTTGTAATACAGTATATAGTCTCTGTTTCATAGTAAAAAAGTATAACTTCTATTATTTTTATTCTTGGGCGCGCGCATTCATGGTGAGAACCTGTCACAGACAGTTGCAGGTAAAACTAGTTGCTTAAGATATAGCTTGCAGTTTAAACTGTCCAAGCAAGTTGCTCATGATAACATCAATTATAGCTGCTGCTGTTGTTAAGTCAATTGAACTCGGTCGAATACAGATGATTGATTCCCTTTAACGCTCTTTTGATCTCTGAATTGAATTAGGGGTGCCAAATGGGCGGGTTGGGCTGATTTTTAGCCGGTGAAAATGGGCTGAGTCAATAAATGGGCGGGTCACCCGCCCAAAAGTTACTTGGACTGAGATTGACCGGGTTGAGATGAGCTAAAATTTGGGTTATAGCCCAACACATCTAACTCTTATCATGCTTTAATTAATGTGTGTTTGTTTTCTTATGAAGTGTTTAATTACCAAATAAGACTTCTTTTCTTTTGTTACGGTTATATATAACATATCAAACCAAAAAAATTATTTTAAAGATATTTAAGCAAAGTTGCTTATGGACCAATTTGGGCAAAAAAGCAGCCAACTTTAGATGGACTGGGTCAAGATAGCTGAGTTCAACAATGGAGGGTGGGCGTGGGGGTCAATGAGCAGCCCAACCTTGAGCGGGTTGGGGGATTGAATGAGTTTGGGCTCAAATTGCCCCCCCCCCCCC